CTTTGGAAATGAGAATACAAAGCTGGTGAAAGTGGGGAAGATATAATGTTGCTTTTGTCTGGCCCATAGGTAAGGGGAGGAGGAGGAGGAGAGAAGGTGGATCCTTTGCAGCCATAGCTGCTAACATCAGATGGAAAGCCGAAGCACTTTGGAAATGTGGGGAAGGCTATGCATTTCAAGGTTGCAAAGAGAGTTAAAGGTGGTCTTCTTGGTGGGAGAGGATTCTTGTCATTCATGTTGGAGGGGGTAATATATTCACATTTTTCCCACTTTGGCCGGGGTCCTTGGCCCTTAACCCCTGTGAATATGGAGGGGTGACTGTACAGGCATACCTCAGTTAACAAACATTCAGGGATAACCATGTTGGCCATATAGCAAATCCAAGAACATAAAAAATCCACCAAACAGTGATACTTTTACTGGACCAACCAAAATGCACAATATACATGTTGCAAGCTTTCAAAGCTCCACTGGCTTCTTCATCAGGCAAGGTGTTAAAAACCATACAGGAGATAAAATTGAAGATGCTAGTCATATGACTTGGATTTTGCTGTTTTTGTTCTCAGTTTGGATGGTATGAAGGGGTGTCTCTTGCAGGCTGGCACCTCCTCCTTTTGGCCATGTGGCAAGTGGGAGATTCTCAAAGTCCAGGACATTTAACATCCAAAGATACTTCCTTTGCAATCCAATATGTCTCCAGAAGGAGGAGATGCCAGCCTGCAAGAGATACCCCTCCATACCATTTGAACTGAGAACAAAAACATCAAAATGCAGGCCTATGGCTAACGTCTTCAATTTTTTTTTCTCCTGTATGATTTTTAACATCTTTGGCTGATGAAGAAGCCAGTGGAGCTTTGAAAGCTTGCAACATGTATATTGTGCTTTTTGGTAGGCCCAATAAAAGTATCACGGTTTGTTGGGGGTTTTTTAGCTCCCTTTTACAAAGTCTTTTTCTGTTTGCCCAAGCCCTTCCTTGTTCCTCATACTCTGTCTAACAGGAAGGTGGTTTTTGTTAGCAGCATAGGCATTGGGAGTATGGTACAGGAGGACTGGAGAAACACAGATTTTCAATTTCAGGTTGTAGAAGAAGGTCTATGGACCTTATCCCACGGGGCCAAAAGCAGCAAGAATCGGCTAAGAATCAGGTGCTATAGCGCTATAGTTTTCCGGGTGATCCCACGACGTCGCTCAGAATCGGCTAAGAATCAGGCGCTATAGCGCTATAGTTTTCCGGGTGATCCCACGACGTCGCTCAGAATCCAACAAGAAACCGCTCGGAATGCAGCATCATTCGGGTTCTTTTGAATGTCGGTTTCAGCGGGCATTGCAATAGCGCTAGCTTATCCATAGCACTATTATAGCGCTAGCGCCATATTTATACTAGCGCTATAGTACTGCAATGATGCTTATATCGGTTTCTTGCCACTTTTGAGAGCAGCGTGGGATAAGGTCCTATGGCAAGCAATGCAATGAAGCTTAAGGTGTGGGGAAAGTGGGATTTTATTCCAGCCAGTCCTCCTGTAGCTGTGGGTGCCTGCCTAAAACAGGAAAGTTAAACAGCAGCTCCTTCCAGAACTCCTTACTGAGCATGTGTGGCTTTCAAAAGGGGGAGAACAGATACCTTTTGTCCAGGAAAGCGGCCAAGAATGCTGATAGCCGAAGTCCAAACAAAATACAAAGGAAACTGCTCACTGAGCTTTCTGCAGTTTAAAGCAAAGAAGATACAAAGCAAAGTCTAAGGTGCAAACC